CTCTCCAGCAACAGGCAACCTGTATCTACTGATGAAGTCCAACATTGTTCAAATGGTTTGGATTCTCTTTCATTAGTAATTTTACCATGGTCTTCCTTTGATAAGTTATGCATAGCTTCTTTGATTTCAAATCAAGTCTCAGAGTAAGTTTACTAAGTTTCAAGCACATATTGATTTGTTAAGACAATACTTTGACCGCTCCCTGGCTCTACCTTTGAAGATTAAATTGAAATTTTGGAGGAGATAAAGAGTTGTTTCATATAGGTTTTAACACCTCCTTACTGATCAAATCATTTTCATTCTACTTTTTATGATGATATCTAAATGTTACTGGATAGCACCTCTAAGTACGTAGATTAATTCTTTTACAATGTTGGGGTATTCATAAATAGAAACTGTTTGAATCCTAAAATAATGTTATTCAATCTTCTAAATTGTAATGGCATTTTCGAAAGGAATTCAAAAGGGTAAACTATTAAGGTTCTGACTTCTGCTCAGATTTTATAGTAGATATTATATCCCAAAAAAGGACATCGATGAACTAAGTATTTGAATGAAGAGTGAGGTGGTCATATGGGCAGAGCACATGATTGTATATATTAGTGTTGTTACTTATATTTATTTCCATGGTTTTGATATAAACAGAACATGAACTAATAGTGTGCTTGCACTTTCATTGGCTTGACTTTGAAAACACATATTGAAAGCTATTACCTGATCCCTTAAGCACCTAGTATGCCTAATTAACTTTTTGAATCTTTTCATGAAGATGTAGTTCTTTCAAATAATGTATTTCTAATTTTCGTAGGCAAAGGACTTATAAATGTTAAATTTATTTTAAAACAATTAAAAGATGTTTTTATTAGGTGGAAGCACAAGCACATAGTTCAGGTCATATTGTTCCCTGTGTAGCAATTGATGAGGAGTATATATGATTATGAGCATTATGGATTAAATATTGCTTCGTAGCAGCTTCATTTTCATTTGTAAATCCTGGACAGGTTAAAGATAAAGGGAAACTTTGGACAGGGTTAGACATTGTTATTATACAATATATGTATATATTGTAGATATTATAGATTTTAGATTGTGTTAGTAGCAGCTTTATTTTCGGTTGCAAACTTAATTAGGGTGAGATTGTTACTGAAAAGGGTGAGATTGTGGTGTCACAGCTCTTTTTTGCATATCATTCTTTTTTAAGTTGATTGTTTTGCTCTTGGCCAACAGAACTAGGGAAATCCTTATAATTGAATATCTTTGAAAAGGTGGAGGTTACCTTTGTGTAAGATCACATGACTACATCTGAAAATTGCTATTATCACCTCTCATTTGATTGCTTTACATTCTCCCCCGATAATAATGTCTATTGACTTGCTGATCTTAACACTATAGAAGCTCTACCCCCCTCTGTGCTTTTTAAAATGGCAAAAACTTCTGTAGTAAAAGAGGAAACTAATAAGCACTTTTAGCGGTCATGGTGATTGTGTTCTTACTTTGTTTGAGTTGCTTATTTTGGATATTTCCTACTGTATGTTACCTAAATGCATATTTCACACTGATGTATTACAAATGATTAGTGTGCCACAGTTGCTTAGTTTGTTGTCATATGTGTGTCAATTAATTATATTCTCATCGCAGGCGTATAAAAGGGAAATAAGCACATGAAGGTGATAATAAGATTGAGAAGATCAATGAGGAAAAGATGAAAGAGAACCAAATTTCATGAGCTAAACAATATAATGGATGGTTGTAATAAATAGAATTATATACTCATTGTGAAAGTTTATATGTTATTTTTGTTTCTTTTTGTTGTATTGTATGTGTTGTTTTGTTGCAACTTGTTGTATTTTGTTGCAAAATGTTGTTTTTTGTTGCAACTTGTTTATTATTGCGTTTTGTTGCAAAATGATATTTTTAATTTGTTGCGTTTTGTTGCGTGATGTTGCTTTTTGTTGCATTGTGTTGTTTATTGTTGTTTATAATTTAAATTTGATGTTAGTTGTTTATATAAGTTTTTACTTCTCTATGTTACTTATTTAGAATAATTAAGTCATGTATAGATTTATGTACAATCACCTAAAATGAGAATTTTGGACTAATGAATATAAAAAATAGTAAGCAACACAAAGAAACAATGAAAAACAAAAAACTTCAAAGTTATCAACAAAAAGAAACAAAAAAAAACAATATGTAACAAAAACAAATGATAAAGCAATACTGATAATAATGGTGCATAATAATAAAAAAACTTCGTAATAAATAAATTTTGTGAATATTTTGAAAAAACTGGGTTGCGAAATTCATAATTTGACCTTTTCAAATTTTAAGTTAAATTGGTTTACATTTTTATTTTCACCTGAAATTTTTATTTTTGAGATTTTAGACTTTCCGTGCTTTTTGTTTAATTTTATTTTCAATTTTTTAAAGCTATCAAGATTTTTTATTTCTATTTTTATTGTATTTTATAAATTTTAATCTATTTTTTTGAATTCTATAAAATATTTACTATTTAAAATAATTTACCTATTTTATTATTATTATTATAAAATATTGTAACTTTTCAATTTTTATCTATTTATCTACCATTTTCACTATTTCAATTCTTTACCTGTTTTTATTTTAAGTTTTTTTACATTCTTCTAACATTTTTTAGACTTTTGAACGTCTTAGTATCAAATCTTTAATATTTTTCAACTTTTTAATACTCCATATTATATATTTATTTTCATCTTTTATAACTTACTCTGTAATTTTAGAAATTTTATTTTAAAATTTTGTTTATATCATAGTTTAATGAGTTTTCAAGTTTTAGATTTTTGAATGTAACTACTGTCTGATTGTTTTTTTTCAGTTACTTTTAGTTAGCGTCATTTCATAATGGAAAATAAGTTCTATATTATTTCCATTGTTTATATATGGTGTCCAGAACAGAAGGTTTGCTACATAACGATGATTAAAAAATGTTGTTATTTAATAATATTTGTTTTAAAATTATGTAATCTTGATTAAGACTATTAATTACCTTCTCATTTCCAAGAAGGTTATCCATGTTTTTGTATGACATTGGAAGGGATGTCATCATTCACTCCGGTGGGTGGTTCACTACCAGCTCTGGAGTGGACTGATTCAAGATCAAGGTCGGTATTGGGAGAGTTGTGGTTCACAATAGATTGCCGGCGGTCTGTGGTGCTTCCACCACGACCGCGACTGCGACCACTACGGCCAGAACTAAAAGACTGAAGACTACTTCCTCTACCAGACATCCTAATGAATAAAATGACACCACAAATTTCATACAAGGCAATAATATAATTTCATACAAGGCAATAATATAATTTCATACAGTACAAATTTATTCCAGAATATTTGAACACATGCATATATAATTTCTATACAGATAGAGTACAAAGAATATTCTGTAAATATTTATAAAACTCATAGTGTCTACACATGCATATAGACTACCGAAATAAATAACAAATAAAAATATTAGGTAGTTTAAAAAATACATAAACTACCGAAGTAAATAACACATAAAAAATATTTCGCTTTAAATAAGATAGAAATTACCGAACTAAATACAAAAAAAAATGTTTTAAATAAAATACAACTACCGAACTAAATAAGAACTAAAAAACTTTTTGTGGTAACAAAATTTTAAACTACCGAAATAAATAACACATAAAAAAATGACACATGACCTGGAATTAACGGGCAGACGTGTGGTGGAGGAGGCTGCTGTAGAAGAACTATCGTCGCCGTCGTTTAACTTTACACGGAGGAGGGTATACGTGTGGCGGAAGAGTGTGTGCAGTGTGGCGGAGGAGGGTGTAGTGTGGCAGAGGAGGGTGTAGTGTGGCAGTGGAGGGTGTAGTGCGGCGGAGGAGGGTGTAGTGCGGCGGAGGTGGGTGTAGTGCGGCGGAGGTGGGTGTAGTGCGGCGGAGATGAAATAGGGTGTAATGGATGAAGTGTGATGTACGGATGTTGGAGTTGATGTTAGGTTTAAATATTTTCGGTTTTGGCACGGAATTGGGACGGCAAAAACCGAGTCAAAAGGGTTTCCAGAATACTCGAATGGTTTCTCGGTGTTGGAACGGATATTCTTTGAACCAATATCCGTGACAAGGTTTGAAATGAACGGCTGTTCAGTTTTCGGTGTTGTCACAACAATTTGTGCCGCCAAATTCCGTGCCAACGCCTCGAAATTCAAATTGTTAGCCGCCAATCGAATATTTGTTTGTACTCTAGCAGGGATATAGCCGTGCCAAACTGTCTGGCAGTCTGAACGTCCTGACATGTCAGACGTTGACTGTCAGAGACCATTTGCAACGGTTTAGGCACGGAAACGGCCGTGCCAAATTGAAATTATGGGTGGTTCCGTCTATAGGCACGACGTTATCCCTGCCCAAATCCGTTCCAAGTTTATTGAACTTAACTATAAATAACTAATTTGAGCATTCCTGCCTACACACTTGAAAGAAAAATTGTTTAAAGTTTCAAAAATATCAAAGCAATGGAAAAGTCTGAGAATTTAGCTGAAAAAATAGATATTTCTGGTGAAAAAAAACTAAGAGTTCAGGTGTGAAAAAACCCGACAAATGGGATTTGCTGGGGCAACGAATTGATTATTTGAGAGAAACGCTGCAGTAGATGGCGCCTGTTAATGATGCAGCTAAGGCAAAAATAAATAAACTACTAGAAAAATGCAGTGCCGTAGAAGTGCAAAGTGAAGACGATGATAACAAATCAGGTTGAAGTTAGAAATTGTAAAAAAGACTTAGTTTATTAAGTCTTTTATCTCGCTTGTTGTTGGTTTCATTGAACTCTATGTTTCTCGTTTACGTAATTGATGTATGTTCGTTGCCAATGTAATAAAATGTTGGGATTTAGTAGTTGATTTGTTGGTTTTTTTAATCGTTTGATTTGTTGGTAATAATAATAATAACAACAACAACAATAATAATAATAATAAAATAATAATAATTAGGATTCATATTTAATTTATTGTTTGAAGGGAATAATTAAAATGGGATACAACAACAACAACACCTACAAATTAAATAAAAATACAGATTAAAAGGCAATAATAATGTTCATTCATCTGAGTCGGGATCTGAGTCAGGATTGTCCATGTACTCTTCATCATCAGTGTCCCCCGATTGAAAGTTCCAATCGTCTTCTTCATGCTGAGATATTTCGTCAATGCGTCGTTGGGATCGGGGTCTATTTCTGCGCCAGTTGGATCTTCCAAATCGATATGTCCCGCATAAATTTCTGGAGCTGGAGGTTGGAAAAACTCTTGTTGATAAACATCAATATCAACGTTTTTATGTATCGCATGAGAAACAATTTTTCACGGTCTAATTGTGCATGCGCTGACCCACGCAGAAGGTTTTTTCTTTGTAGTATATACTTGGACAGCCTGTTGAGCTAAAATGAATGGCTCATTTTTCTTGTAAACTCATGTATAATTAACATCGACTAAGTTATGTTTTTAATGTTGTATCACACCCCTCACAGGATCAACCCAAGTGCATCGGAATAGTACAATGGATAAGTCATTTTGACCTGGAAACTTCATCTCGAGTATCTCGTCCACATATCCAAAAAATTAGACTCTGAATTATCATAATTGCAGGTCGGGACACTGACTCCGCTATTCATTGTGAGTTTATTGTTTCCGTAGGCATGGGTATGATATTTGTAACCATTCACATAGTATATAGACCAGCACTGTGCTAATGTTGAAGGCCCCCATGCTAGTGAAACCAAAAACGGATCAACAGTACCCTTTTTATCATCACTTAATATCTACAAATATAAAAAATGTTAGTGAGATTTTAAATTGGGTGGTGAATATTATAATATTTAGAATTCAAGAATGTATATTGACATACCACGCTCTTGAACCATGATGCAAAATCACTCGCGATCATCGCATCGACCTCCTCACTTGAATAATCTTGTAAACATTCTCTAAACTCACTATATAGTACAATGAAAGATGACTGTTCATCAAAATTTAGGTTAGATTGAGAAATAAATGATGAAGTAATTTTATAATTATCATAGTTGTAGAAGGGAAAAACTTCTGGACAGTTCATCAAAATGTAGGTGTGTGCAATGCGGAACTCATCTCCCACTACATGACGGTGCATTCTTCTACCATAACCTTTCCCAGGATAGTTGAAGATTGAAATCATTTGGTCATACAATCCCGGATCAATATCGTCATTTCTGGCAGATCTTTTTCGCTTAGTCATGACTTCTCTTTCAAAATAGTAGGAGGAAAATGTAGACACCTCTTCTGTGATGTACGCTTGGCAGATAGAAGCTCCCACGTGTGCTTTATTTGTCACCTTTTTTTTAACTCCCGTAAAAACCTAATAAAAGCATACTTAACAATTAAAAGCATAATTTATTTTTCAAACGTAATAATAACAGCATATTTGTTAATTAGTAACAAATTAGTAACAAATTTACCTCACAAATCCGTACATCCATCGATAAAATGCAGGACCTCCCTTCATAGCTTCAAATGGAAGATGGATTAGTAAATGTTCCATTACATCAAAAACGGATGGAGGAAAGACCTTTTCTAGATTACACATAATAGTGGGAGCTTTACGGTGAAATTCCTCCAAAGCAGTTCGGTTTAATACAGGCGAGCATATTAAATGAAACAATTGACAAACATCACTAATGCACGCCGATACATTATCCGGAACATTTTCCCTCATAGCAACAACAAGTAATCGTTGCATGACGACGTGACAATCATGGCTCTTCATACTCTTCATTGACAACTTCTCTAAGTCTACACATCTATGGAAGTTGGATGTGTACCCATCAGGAAACCGTAGCTGAATAAGCCACTCCAATATTTTCTGTTTCTGTTCATCGGTCACCTGGTAAACTGCTTTCTTGAAGGGACCTTCGTAATCTGGGTTCATTGCAATTTCCGGTCTATCACAATACAATACCACATCTTTTCTTGAAGATAGGCCGTCCTTGGTTTTTCCTTAAAGTTCATCACTGTGTTAAATATGTTATCAAAAACATTTTTTTCAATATGCATGACATCCAAGTTATGCCTAATAAGAAGATCTTTCCAATACGGCAAACTCCAAAATATACTTTTTTTTGTCCATTTATGATGAATCAGATATCCCTCTGGATACTAAAGAGGATCATCTATGGCAATAGCGATGGAGCGCACGCGATCATAAATTTGATATCCTATAAACCTCATTGGTGGTGGATCAAGCTCAGTGCGCCCCTTTAGAAATGATTTCTTATCCTTTCGATATGGATGGTTCTGAGGAAGGAATCTTCGATGGCAATCAAAGTAACATGGCTTGCGGCTATTCTTGAGCCAAAATGCATTTGACTTCTCCATACAAACAGGGCACCCCATAAATTAGGCGGTGCTCCAGCCAGAAAGCATTCCATATGCTGGAAAATCACTAATTGTCCACATAACTGCAGCTTTCAAATTAAATATTTGATTCTTGGAAACATCATATGTGGGAACACCTACATCCCATAACTGTCTGAGCTCTTCCACCAATGGCTGCAGGTATACATCAATTCTCTTTTTTGGATTACCCGGTCCTGGACACATTAATGACAAAAACATAAAATGTTGTTTCATACACATGTCAGGGGGAGATTATATGGTGTAATGATAATTTGCCAACATGAGAATTGTCCCCCGAATTGGCCATATGGGGCAAAGCCATCAGCACATAACCCAAGTCGAACATTGTGTGGCTCAAAAGCAAATTGTGGATAACACCGGTCGAAATGCTTCCACGCCTCAGAATCTGATGAGTGACACATTAACGCATCTTCAGTCTCATGTTCCACATGCCACATCATGTGTTTAGCCGTGGCATTTGAGGCATACAACCTTTGCAACCGTGGGGCTAAAGGAAGATATATCAACTTAGATGACGCAGACCTTTTGCGTGGTTTCCGAGTCATGGCTGATATAGGTTTGTACCTATCCGCATTATAAAACTTACAATGGGTCAATGCCTCATCGTTCTTCCAAAATAACATGCATCTCATTGGGCAAGCGTGAATTTTAATCATGGGAAGACCTAACTCTGAGACAAAATTTTTCATGTTGTAGTAAGTATCGGGTAGACAATGATCACGCGGTAACATGCTGCCAACAGAGTCTAGTATCCTTGACATGCAATTCTCTGAGAGATTATATTCAGCCTTTATATTAAAAAATTCAGAAACCGCAGATAACTGCGAATGACCATCACAATCATAATACAGAGGTTGATCCGCGCTTTTGAGGACTTCTTGAAATCTAGTGCCTAGCGCATCTACCTCATAATAAGATGAACTTGGTTGCTCATTCACATTACTGTGTGAAGTGAAATCATTATCTGGTTGGGTATTTTGAAATGTTGTAGGGCCGACGAAATCATAAAGCATTTTCTGCTCCCATGGCATTTCTTCATAATTTCCCCAACCAGTCATCTCGTTAGGAACATAGTTAGATGTGCCTAAGATCTGTGGCAAAAGACATGTATCAATCGGTTCTCCTTGAGAAGTCCAATTGTAATAGTTATCAATAAAACCGTGTGTATATAAATCCCACTCCACGTTATCAGGATCAAGAAACTTGACATTTTTACACTTTGCACACGGACATCTTATTTTATTTCCATCCGTGTTGTGTTTGCCTTTGTGCAAAACTAATAAATTCAGCAACTCCATCAGTAAACTCTTTAGTCAATCCTCTACCATTTTCTTTATGTCGCCTATACATCCAACTTCTACTTTCTCTATTCATCGGTCCTGAATATGTAAAATAAATTAATAAATATTTATTTATTCTTATTAAAAGTACATGTTAGTAAGTAAATTTTTAAAACTCATCACACCAATTTTATTGGTATAAGGCAAATAATGACAATAATTATAATTCAAGACATGAAATATATATTGATCTATTGAAATTAATTAATAAAACGAATAAAATTACATACCTTATAACCGGAACATAATTCTTTTAAGAAATCCAAATATAAATATTCCACGTAACTAACACATAATGAGACCACATTCCTTTGTTTCCAAAACTCACCGCTAAGAATAGTGCATTGTAGATGTATACATAAAAGAAGATGTATTTTTTGCTTAAGAATGTGCAAGGATTTATGGTGTAATTTGACTCGGATTTTGGCACGGAAAATATAATTGGATACAAAACGGCTCTATTTTGGCACGGCTTTCGGCACGGAAAAATCCGTCGATCGAACCATTTGAAAATCTTCCCCGGAATACACAACGGTTACCTTTTGGCTCAGAATTTGACACGGATATATCGTAACAGTTATATTTTGGCACAGACAACCCGTTTAAGCCAAAAGCAAAAAAAAATGTATTGAAAACTTTGGCACGGATTATGGCACAACTCTTTTGCCTCGGATATTGGCACGGACCTTCATCAATGCAGCATGTTCATGTTGGCACGGAAATGGTCGTCCCAGTTGGCACGGAGTTAGGTTGGGATGGTTTTGGCTCGGATATATTTGAGTCAAACACTGAAAGTACAAAATGATGTTGGATCGGATTCATATCCGTGCCAATTTGGAACGGCATTTGGATCAAATTGTCGAGAAGCCAAAATTTCTGTTTTTTTACGGTTTTGGATCGTATTTTGGATCGGATGTTCTGTGCCAAACTGTTGGCACAGATACATCCGTTCCAAACTGGATACGGTTTATATGTATTAGTTATCCGAGCCAAATGTCGAGTCAAATTTGGCAGGGTATTTATCCGAACCAAATTCCCTGCCGATGTCGAGTTTTTTTAGTAGTGATTGTTGGTTGGAATAATGGTGTTGCTTCATAGTAGTGAATAGCCCGCATCCTACGGGGTAGAAAAACTGATGGTGAAGCCTCATGCTGGAAACCCCACCGCCGGCAATTCTCTATCACATCTTTCATCTTTTATGTAGCTACACCACACACATACATATGGAGAGACACAATGCACTACAAATAAAAGATTATTTTTCTTGAGAAACACGAAGAAATATTTCATCAAACATCAACAATTGTGTGCACGTTACTTACTTAGGTAAGTAGTGTTGGGTGCACATCTTCGATTACGCCCTATTTATTTATTCTTTACATGGACAAAAAAGTACAAAAACACACTTTCGGTGACTATAACTCTGATGATAATGATGGTAGTTGAGATAAAAGATGACACAATATGACATGGTGAATGTGAAAGTTAATGAAGAAACAAGATGAATAAGATGGAAATGGTGGAGATGAAATGTGTTTGATATGGAAATGGTGAGGATAAGGTGATGAAGATTAAAAAACAAAAGGAGAAAAAGTGGAGAGAATCGTACGTCGAGGGGGGACGGGGGAGGAGACGAATAGAAGAAGGGAGGAGAGAGGGGGGGACAAATAAAAAAGGTGTACACCAAGGTGTAACCTTTGACAAAGAATTACTACATCTTTCAAATTGTTCTCTCTGTCCCTAAGTTATCATTCAAATTTTCTTTTTTGGGTCGTTCAAAAATAATCTTCAGATTCCTTTTTGACTGATAATCTATTATTTATTGTATTTCTTACACATTTATATCTTCTCATGACAAGTTTACACTATACAATTCTCACTTTCATAATTCACGTGCAACACTCATTTTGGAAGATAATTTAGGAAAAGAGGGAGTACATTTATTCTATAGCTTGCTTAAATTAAAACATCATTTATCACTACATAATTATTAATAATCAATTATCATTGATGAAGTATAATTCCGCACATAATATCATCAATTGTTTTCAATTGTATTGATAAGTATGATAATTACTTATGTTTTACATAAGTAAGTATTTATTTGTACAAAATACAAAGAGAAAATATATAAATTTCCCAAAGTGACAAAATAATGTGAAAGACGGCTAGAAGCAACGAATATATATGGAGTCAAAAGGAGTACAAATCAGCACTTTCGAGTCAACTGCAAATGTCGAAAAGGGAGAAACAATGTAACTTGCGATTGGGAGAAAAATGGCACCGATCAGGCCACAACCGTCGCCTGCCGGTCAGGCCACAACCGGTGGCCGCCGTTCACCGTGGAATTTTGCACATGAAGGCTATTGTAATAGACTGGGGGCCGGTCATCTGAATCGAGCTGCACCGGTTGCGTTGATTTCTAGCAAAGAATACTTACTGTCGGTGCCTGTCACATGCCCAACTCGCACCGTCACGTGTCTAACCGGCGATGGTCGTCTTGATTTCTACTCAAAACATGTGAGATGCTGAAATATTGTGAAAAGATGTGAAGATTTAAAGGTTGAGAGCTGAGAAATTTCGTTTGATCTAATATCTGATCGTGAATTGACTAAAAGATGTAAATCTTTAGTCTATATAAACTCTCAATTTCATCCCTTGATCGTCACCCATTCCATAGTTTAATTCACAACTTTTATATTTTGTTCTTACTATTTTTCTCCAAAATCATTGGTGTTTAAGTATTATTTCCTTTGTAATTTCATATTTCTTTGCATTAAATTGTTACATTGTGATTAATATATGAGCATTAGATTATTTATAAGCTAAGGCTAGGGATTAACCTATATGTCCATCAAGTGTTTGATAAAAGTTCTGAACTAATAAATTTTTATTTATCCTTGCACTTTGATTGTTTATGACTATGATGTACATCATAGAAGTATGTTAAACTTAGTTTATGCTTGCAATGATTATGGTGAACTAATCCTTGTCCTGTTGAAAACTAAGAATTTGTTCAGAATTTGTAATGTTGTGGCTCAATCCCTAGGTAATTTGTTGAGAATTTGTTATTTATAATCTGTGTTCTATTCAAGATTTCCATACACGTGATAGACATTCATCATTATCTTCTCTATAATACTCCCTCCGTCCCATAATTAACTTCGGTTTTGACTAGGCACGAGGATTAAGATAGTGAGATTTGTGTGGTGGAGAGTTGTGCAGAGCGGAATAGCCTAGGGTTGTAAACGAATCAAATAATTTGTTCTCGATTCGCGGTTTGAATTCGTACAAGACCATTCGAAATCGGAAAATTCAAATACAAATAAGAATATTAACTTTGATTCGAGTTGTTATCAAATACAAATATGAATATCAGTGTATTCGATTCAAATATTAATCAAATAATCTGATTAATAATAGTGGTAATATTACTAATAATATTAATAATAATAGTAATAACACTATAATAACTTTTAAAAGATAGCAATACCCTCAAAGTGTAGCTCATATATATATTTGTGCATATAGATTTCAAGCCCATTTGTAGTAAATAAGAATATAAATACAAATACAAATCATATTTTTGGTTCAAATGTTTTTCAAATATAATACACTTATACACATAATTATGTATTCATTTGGAAGAATACATTAGAGTCATTTGACTTAGGTATATACAATTATCAACTTATTTCACACATTATAAGTATAATATCTAATATGTGTGTGTTAGTGTTTATTTCAAAAGGTTTGAAATAGATTTATATTTATTAATCATAAAATTGATTCACTTTAGTATATTGTGCACAATCTAAAAATCATTGATCCATTAAATTTAAATTCTAAAAACACGTATTAAGTCATAGCATGCATTTACAACATAAAAAATATAAGAAAAGTTTTTTTAAAGTAATATTTGACTAATATTTAACCTATGCTCAAATCGATTCGATATTTGTATATTATTCGTTAACTATTCGTATTGTTAAACAAATACAAATACAAATCGAAATTAATATTCGTTTCATATTCGAATTTGAATTTGTATTCGAAAAAATTAAACAAATACAAATACAAAATCCCATTATTCGACCCGATTCGATTCGTTTACAACCCTATGAAGAGGAGAGAGCAATGTGTAAGAATGGTTGTGAACCACATATTTTTTTACCAAAAAGGGAAAGAGGAGATAAATTTGGGACAGACCGAAAAGGAAAGAATGAAGATAATTTCGGGACAGAGGGAGGGAGTATGTAATTTCATTACTCTTTTAGTATTTAAATTTAGTTTGTTTAAGATGAGTGAGTGCTAGTTTGATCCGTAGAAGTCTTAAACTATGTCATTGAACTGCACCCATGCATATATGAGTCAAAATGATCTGTTTTTTTTCTTGTATGTATAGACCAAAGTTTGCTCAAAGTTCAGGAGTGTGTGTGTCTCTAAGTGTATTTGGAATGATTAGGAAGCTTTGTGTGAAAACTTCCGCTAAAGTTGCAAATATATTAATACTTTTTTTCATCAGGTTGTTACCTCATCCATCCCAGAAAGTGTTGGTGAAAGATTTATGGGAAAAGGGACAAATAAGCTCTCGAACTAACCGAAAAAGTGCAAATCATCCCTTTTATATGAGAGTCTGTTAGACTGTTGACATTTGGGGCGGTAACCGGTGGAACTTTTTGATGAATATTTTTGAGAATCTTCTTGATTAAGTCTAGTTTACCTATACCAAATTTCAGCTAAAAATGCAATCAGAAAGACAGTCAAATAAATTTTTGAAGATAACTATGCAGTTAAACAGCGCAGTATATTTCAGAAAACAATTTGACTGTCTTCCCGGTTGAATTTTTAGCTGAAATTTGGTATGAGTAAACTAGACTTAATGAAGAAGATGTTCAAAACAATTCATCAAAAAAATCCACTAGAAACCTCTCCAAATGGCGACCGCTGGACAGAGCCTCTTATAAAAGGGGTGATTTGCACTTTTTTTGTTAGTTCGAGTGCTTATTTGCACCTTTTCCGCAATCACTCCATGTGTATTACCCTGAACACTTACTTATAGAAGAGATCCCCAATCACTCAATGCGTATTACCCTGAACAGTTGAAATAGAACTTAATGTGTTATTATTATTTTAGCTAGCTTGGTATGTTAATGACTTAATGTGAAAGACATATTGGACTCAAAACTGGAATTTATCATGCTTCTGTTGATAAGTCTGTTGACTTTGATTTAGCAGAGCGTATTGTGTTGGATGCAAAAATGAATTTTCCTGCAGCATGCAACAATGTGGGATGGTAAATATTTTGGTGGAAAAATATTGGTGTCTACGTACACATGCTTCTTTATATGACTTTGATTTAACAAGATTACATGAAATCAATATTGCATATAAAAAATTGAAGTAAAAAATTGAAGAAAAAAATTGAAGTTTCAACAAATTTTTCATGAACACATTTTAATCTACGGAGCGTCAACAAATAACTAAACTTTTCATGAACACATTTTACATTTTATTGAAACTAAAATATTTAAAGGAGATTTTTATTTTAACACATTTTATATTTAAAGGAGATTTCTTATTTTTTAACATCGAAAAATTTATTTTTAATTTTATAACTCTTCCTAAATATGTTGAGCCAAAAAAACTCTTCATAAATAAAATGAATGAAAAAATTTGGTTATAATAATTTAAATAATACGGAGTATTTTATAAATTGACACTTGGTTAAATGTATTTTATTGATAATATTGAAATGTATTTTAGATTGGCGGAGATATTCGGTCTAAGAAACTGTTCTTTTCGTCTTATTCTTATTACTTATTGCTTATTCTTATTTTATTCAGATCATATCAGAAAGATTCTGACCATATCAGAAAAATTCAGATCAGATAAGATCATATCAGAAGCATTTAGATCAGATCAGAAAAATTCAGATCAGATCATAAACATTCAGATCAGATCAGAAACATTCAAAGCAGATCAGTTCAGATCAGAAATATCCAGATCAGATCAGAAAAATTCAAATCAGATTAGATCA